TTAAATTATTTATTGCTAAAAAATTGTTTATTTGCAAGCAGGGTCCTGTTCATAATATCAATACAGTGCAAAATCAATCTCTAAACTTTTACAGAGTTATTGGACTTAAGTTTTATTTCCAAATGTTTACTTTGAAACTGTGCTTGCATCATTAGTATCTGCATCTTAAAATTTTCTGAATGTTTGAAAATTTTAAAAAAATTTAAACTTTAAATTTTTTTTGACAAGAGTCATTTATCTTTTTAATATTTTATCTTTTTTTTATTGATTTACAAGGAAGGTCGACACCGTGTAAAATTGGCACACATTGATAAATGTCCCTGCAATAAGACATAGCATCAAAAGAATGTTTTTTCCCACAACACTGTCTTTTTAACTGCCCTCGCTCTTCAGCAATGTTTGCTTTTAAAAAAAAGTGATGATTAGAATTTTAATAAAACTGAAACATATGAAAGTGAATTTATACATTTTCTCTGTTTTGGAGAATTCACAACAAAAATTTATAAATAATATTTATTAGATTATTTATTTTCACTATTAATTATAATTTTTATTGAAGTGTTTGGCAAAACATTGGGTAATTGCCATTGATTCAAACTTTATAAAATGGTAAATAATAAGGATTATCGTTGGTTCACATATTTTAATAATTTAGCAAATTAGTTTTTTGAATGTTGTGACTAAAATTATTCTTGTAAATAAACACTCTAATAAATAAATAGTGTTTAATATTTTTGTCATAAAAGAACAAAAAACATGTATAAATTCACTTTATGTGTACATTTTATTCCATTTTTAGTCATGTCTTTTTAAAAGACGAATTTCTGAAGCATGAAGATAATTAAAAAAAAAAATGCTGTCATGGGGAAAAACCTTTCTTTTGACACTGTCTTATTGTGGGCATGTTTATCTATATTGGACATAAAATCATTTCTAAGTCTTTTACATAGTTATTGAACCTAAGTGTTACAAGTTACAAATATCTAATTTAAAACTGTGCTTACATCATTGATAGCTTTTTGGGAGGGCAAGAGGTTTTTTTTTACTTTTTTGGTGAAGTACATTGACAGATAATCATTATTTATCTTAATTGAAAAATAAACAGATATATGCCTTTTTATTGATTTATCTAAATGTTTTTTCTTGAATCAAAAATGTTTATATACATTCTTATTTAAAAGAAATATTTTTATAAAAAGAAAAAAAGTCTATTTCCATATGCAGAAGAGGTAAGTCCAGATAACTCTGTAAAAAGTCAAGGACTGATTTTTAAACTGTATTGATATTTTAAAAAGGACCCCCCAATTCTTAAGTCATAAAAATCAATATTCTTCAATTATGAAAAATGTTGTGCCTGTAAAATGCTAATGTACAAAAATTATTTTTAAAAAATGTTTTTTTTTTTTATCTGTCTATATCTCTGAGATGAGGTATTATGTACACTATTTACATTATTTGGACTATTGTCCTCATCTTTGTCGCCATATTTATTACACTGTTTCGGCCGTTGTACGCTCCGGCCTTTTCCAGGTGGTTGGAATGTCGATGGAGAAAGAGAGTAACAACACTCTCTCATTCCTGGATGTTCTAATATCTTGAACAGAGCATGGGTGCAAAACATCTGTATAATACCCAGAAATTCATGCACAGATGTCCTCAAGGACACATGGCACAGTGGATAAAGGCATTAAATCCAGTGACAGGACCCAAATTCTGTGAGTTCAATACCCGGTTAAGGCAGTGGAGAACTTGGAGAGG